GCGCACCTGGGGCCGGCGCCGCGCGCCCACGTGTCCCGGGACTGGGGCCGCCTGAGCGCCGCGCACCAGGCGCCGGTGTGTGTCACACACCTGGGGCCAGCACCTCCATTGTGCCACACGCCGGGGCGGCCCAGGTTGTCAGCGGGCGCACACAAATGCCCCGGCGGGCGCCATGGCGCCCACAGGCGCCACGTTGGGGACCACTGGACTAGGACTTTTGAGTTCAAGTAACATGAAAGTACTACTGTAGTAAAGTTTAAGAAATTAAGTACAAAGTATTAAAAGATTTTTTGGGTCAGCGTTGCACTGTATTTTCTTCTAATTTATGTTGTTTTACCCATACTAATGTTCTTGCATCCCATCCATTGGGATCCCACACTTAGTCAGCACAGTCCATTAATTACACCTGCTCTCCTGATGACCTCAATCCCTTCTCACTTCAAGAGCATAAAGAGAGTTGAGTGATCAACTGATCCCTCAGCTCCTGTACCGCTACTGAACTTACTAGTACAAAGGCAAGGAGGGTGAATCACGGAACACATGGAAATGCCCCATAGCAAAAAACCTCTAGATCAGGGCTACTCAACACATGGTTCATGGGCTGCATGCGGCCTGCTGCCCATTTGTTTGCCGCCTGCGGTGCAGTTTGGGTTCACGCAGGGCTCAACATGTGGCCTGCGGGTGGGACCCTTTGAACATAGCCTCCACTGGGAACATGCTTCACATCAAGGCATCTCCCTGGCTGGGTGAGCACTGAAAGACACAAGAGAATGGATGGGCTGGAACAGATGGGTACAGGATGTCAGTGTTTCTAGCCCTCAGGGAGGTGGTGGCGGGAGCGCTGGGGCATTAGGGGAAGTGCTGGCTGCTTAGCCTTGTGGGCAGACCCTGAGAGGCGCTGACTGGCTCATACTCATCACATTTGGGTCCAGTGCCGCTGCCTAAGGCTTAATCTTTGTATTCATGACAGTCAATAAGCTATTTGTGCATGCATATATATATATATATATATATACACACACACACACACACACACACACACACACACACACACACGCATTGTAGCCCTTGGCATGTGCTGAGAGTATCACTGTGACCCCCAGGGCTTCTCAAGTGGAGTAGCCCTGATCTAGATACTAGTCTTTATTTTTCTTTGAGTCCTTTACATATGTTTCTCTTCTGGTGATAACTATGCAGTATATAATAAATGGAGAAAGGTACTGAGAGGTCTACAGAATTTAAGATGGCAACACTGCCCCTTCCCCAATCAGATATCTAAATATGATGCTAAAACCAAGAGCAATGGTTAGTGAAAATACTACTCTAAATACAAGCCCTACATAGATCACTAATGGATGATTCCCCAAAAGGCTGCACACAGCTGTGTCCTGGCAGAATTAGCTCTAAATATAACCTGGGAGTTCTAAATTGGTTTCCTCTACCACACTTTGTACAACACCACATCCCTTAGAAAGATCTGAGTCAAAACTGGATGACCCTTGAATCTTTTGCCAATAGAAAGAAATAGGTTTGGGAACACAATATCTTGTTAAAACAGACTATCAAGACATTTTCCTGAAAAGATACATGCCTTGGAATTGATTGGAGTACTGGTTCTCAAACTGAGTCCTAACAGTGGGTCACAGTCCATTTCAGTGGAGTTGCCAGGGCAGAAAGCTGAAGCTTTGAGCCCTGTGTTCTGAAAAGGGCTGAAGCCCAGGGTTCCAGGCCCCAAGATGGGGGGCAGAAAATAAAGTAGCTTTGCAATTTTATAACAGGGAGTTCATGGGGTGTGTTTTGTTGTTTTTAAAGTTCAATAGGGTCACCAACAAAAGTTTAATCAAGTAGATCAGAGTAACTTTCTGAATTGAATGTGACCCCCATTGATCACTCAGGATACTGCTGTTCACTTCCTGGAAATAATTCAAGTATCCCCCAGAACAGTAAAAGAAGATAAAGCTCATCAAAAGTTGGCCAGCAGCTTAAAACATACACATCAAAATGATTTTGAGCCAGCCTTAACAGCATCTGTACTTGATGCAGAACTCCATGTATATTTTGTTTCCTCTTATAGAGATCTGATGTTCTTTGATAAGGCTCATAGAAAGGC